CGTCGACGCTTCCATAGCAGTGATTGATGCTCGCCGTCGTTTCGCAGACGCGACTACATAAATCAAAAGGCATCCTTACACGCGCGAACCCTTTTCTTGTCGCGTGTGTGCGCGCGTGCGCCACCCCTTTTTCTTCCCTTTCGTTTTTTTTCTACTTTCGCAGTCGTATAAGGCGCCCCGATGCGTTATCAAATCCGTCGATGACAGACGAGAACGTATTAAATACCGAACGGGAGGGGCATCGATTGTCGCGGAGACGCCGTGCTGTATGAAAAGGGTGGGCGGCGAACGAACACGTGCATCATCCCCGAGGCTGCGAGACGATTGAGATATGTTTTCCACTCGTTCTCTTTTTCCCGTACCCAACACGTACCCACCCTGATTATGCGTCCCATGGCGCTTGTTCTGTACATATTATTTGGCACTACGAAGACGCTGGGGTGCTGCTGACAGATTCGCCTTGGGAATTGCTGTTTCTAACAGTAACACGTGCGGGAAAGAACCTATGCGTGTTATTTTGTGTATGTTTATAGCGAGACGTCTGTAAATATTCTTTGAACGACGAGGTAAAAAGTGATAATTTCACGGATGAAGATTTTTCAAAGCATTACTGATTTATTTCATAGAAAGCTAAGTTGAATATCGAACTCTTGAATACTAGAAAAGGAGATTACATATTGGTGTTTTATTTTATAAATAATTAAATTTTTTAATTGCAATTTTTGATTGCGTAAAGTAACCATCGATGAGGATAATATAGCGGTGATCGTATTCGGGGGACTAATTATGGAATAATTTTCTCTTCTGTTCTTTGTCTTTTAAAATTCTATTTTGAAGATGGGGGCTGTATTTTGAACGAATTTGTAATAAGATATTTTGGAATGTTTGTAACGTGGCTCAGGAATTAGGGATTATCGATTTCTTTTATATTGATAAAAGAGTAAAAATTGAAGAAATAATTGAATTTTTATAATAAGTAAATTTCAAATCTTTATGCAGTTGTCGCAAACTCAAATGTTTAAAATGCAACGAAAGATCTATATTAACAAAAATGAACGGTATTTTTGTTTCGTTATTTAATCAGCAAGAATGTCCTATCCCTTGTCGTAGGTTAACTTGGAAAATGGAAATTTGCATAAATATTCGTGGTATAATAGCAACGTAAGTGATGAAAGTGGATATATTCCATTAATTTACAACATGTTTGTAACGGTACGCTCTGTTACAGGTTCGTAGTCAGGAATTCCTGCTGTATCGATACATCATCCCTGACAAGGAATACTATCCAGAAGCGTAGAGAAAGGGGGATGTTGTAAGAGTTGTGAGAGACGGATGAATCTACACTTTTGTGCGTTAATATCCCCCGCGTGGAGAAACGGTGAGAAGAGATTTCAACAGCTGCGTCACTTATTGTACCAGCAACATCCATTAAAATGGTCCATTAAAATTATACATTCATTTCGGGACTATTTCCATGTGACTATAGATAAGCATAGCCGAATTTTCAAAAATATCACTTTCGATTTTATAATGTCCTTTAACTATCATCAGAGAAAAGACAATTCTTTGAGCATTTTATATTATTGTTAATAGATTGATATTATTCCTTTTTAAAAAAGTAAACTTCAATGCTTCATAACTTTTCCAATACAAGTACCAATACTCACCGTCAACAGTTTATAGTCCTGGGTATACAGAACAAGGGCCTTAACAATACACGTCAAGATCAAGGTTATACGAGGGTTAAACTTTTTGTAAATAAGTACGAAAACTCTTCATTCTCGGACATATTTTTGAGAATATCTAGAAAACTAAGACACAGCTGTGGTAACATGTATATGAAAAAGTTATTCAGGATCAAGTCGCCTACAAGATATTTCAAGGTCATCTAAATCAGAGCTGTAATTAATTACCATTAAGCTTCTAAATTCATTATAACTAAGTTATGTCTCTTCCGCAATTCTTATGTTATTATTCATACAACTAGTATATTATTATACAATAAGTCATTATGTAATAAGTATTATTCAGTAATAAATAATGTATCCAAATATTGGTGGTCACTAATGGCTTTACTGTTAACACGTTAACTGTTGCGGTGGTCACCGATGACCGGAGCTCCAAATTACTCGATAACAGTAACAATAAGAAAATTTATGTGAAATAAGAATATTTGGTAACATAAGTAGCTGAATAACAACGTAATATGAATACTGCGATAACAAAACATTAATAATTATTTCTATTACCGTTTACTCTTGTCATGAAAGAATAATTATTACGATACAAAACGTTCGAAACTATCGTGGCAGTCAACGTGTTAATGTGACCACCTTAAAATAAACTCAAATATAAAAAAAACATAAAAAAAGACCTATGCTAAACAGCTTTCGCAGGGATTTAATAGATTCCTCGTAGAAAGGGGAAAGAGCTGTTATATGAATTGGCTAGATTCCAAGGACGAAGTCGGGGAGCACTGCTTCATCGTCCTTGCCTTGTTCCATTCATTTCTCCAGACGGGCTCTCTTTCTCCAACGGACTAAAGATCTGAGGAATAGTTGAGAGTCTGACCGATCGTCGGTCGCAGCGTGTTTTGTTCCGCTCGGAATTGAGCGAAACAACACGTGGGAGGTTTAACAACGGAATCACGGATGTGAAACGAATCCTTGAAGGAATTCTTCTCATGGGATACGCACCGCGTACCCGTAATTTGTTTAAATTCTGCGCGGAAAGTTGATCGTTGCGTCACCGGCGAAATACTCGGCGTCGTTTACGAATCAGTGGACCGCTGACAAGAAAACTTTTCGAAGCGGGATGCCACGTGTTCATTTCCTCGTGGAAATTCCACGCTGGATCCTCCAAAGATTCCTCGTCTACTTCGAACTTGCTCGACTTGTGAATTCCTGTACAACTTCCGGAGGAATTTCAATTGGAGGTCATACGCCAGAGATTATGCGGTTGAAAAATCGAGAACGATTATATTGTTCGCAGAGTGGTGCAATTTGAATTAGCCTTATCCTTCCGCGGATGATTTTGAATTAACTCTGTCACGCCGCACAGTGGCCGACTTGGTCATTGTAGGCGGTCAAAAGTCGATTTCAACAATTTTGCCTAAGCTGGACAATTTTTGCTTCCTCAGATAGTTGAATGCGCGAGGAATAAGGTACCAAATGTTTTGTTTCATTCAAAGTTGGGAACTTTCGTTGCACATGATTTACACTTCTAATTCTTCGAAACATTTCCGTGTGTTTCAAAGAAATTGTGTATACTTTTTTCCAAAATCAAAGTTTCTCAAATAACTATATACTACATACTTGATACTACGTGATTCATTTATTATGTATCTCTGTGTTATTATTTATATTTAAGCATGATTTATGATGAATGATATTTCTTACGATTATGATACTTCTGCGTTGCTGATAATTTTCTTTAAATCCGATCTCAGTCCAAGGTCGGTTTGTTTTATTTCCTGCAGTTTCCAAATGATCGTTGTCTCCTGCCTTATGATTCCTTATCATGGTGACTTAGAAAACGACGTAGCGATCGTCGTCTGTGAGATACTGATAGATGTTCACGCTTGCCTTTATCACGCTCAGGAAATGATATCTTATAAAGAAGACACGAGTCTTGTCAAGTATTATATTATTGGCGTCTGCACATATACAGGGTGTCTCGAAACTCATGGTCAACCAATTAGGAGGTCATTCTATATGTAAAAATTAGTCGAAAAAATAGAATAAAATTTTTTTCTGCGAGTCTTCGTTTTCAAGAAAATCGAAGTCGAAAGTTTACTCGGTACCTGTACAATCGGTACATGTCGACTTTGTGCATCTCAATATACACTTTTGTTTTGATTCTTATTTGTATTTAAAGACAGTAATGACAAAGTGCGGATACCGCTCTTGATACAAACGCGAAGCGGCACTCAAATTACCCTCGAACGCTCCAAGTGCGAGAATCATATCCGTATACTCACTATTCGAATAAGCTGCCATATTGAGAAATTGTTAGATACTGAATAATTATACCGCTAATAAAATAGCACGAACGATAAACTATTAACCGAGGTTATTACCATATCTTTAAATAAAAATAAGAATCAAAACAAGAGTGTAGGGTGAGATGCACAAAGTCGACATGTATCGACTGTTTTTTGGACTCATTTTTACATGTAGAATGACCTCTTAATTGATTGACCATGAGTCGCGGAACACCCTGTATATGTGCCAACTATAAAATTCTAGACTTGAAGGAATGTCTTCTTATCAGAAGAACTAAATTATAACTCATGTTTCAAACTATAATTGCAAACAGACTTTCTGCGATCGTTAATTAATCCTTGCCTTATACTTTATTTTATAAAAACTTAAATTTCTATATATTTCATGTATATACTACATGTAAAATTGTATAAGAGAAATATAAAAATTTCAGTTCCCATAAACGTACATACACTCTCTTCATAATTGTATAAAATTATTAATAATTTTAAATGGAATATTCTTGACATCAAGGTATATTTAAAATTTAATAGTTGAATTCTGTAAACATTATGTTTAACAATAATTGATACGTTAAAGGCTATTGATATTTTTGTTCTAATGCCCACATTATTATTAACTAATTTGTTACTTGTATATACATATAAATTCATTGAACATCGACGGAGTATATTATATACTAAAATATTTTCCAAACGTAAATTACAAATTGTATTAAAGGTATTGCAAGCATTAGAAGGCAACTCGTGCTATGTGTAGAATATGTTATTAGATACGCATTTTAAAAAGACTTAATGAATTTCGGAAGATGCGCGACAGTTGCGCGAGTATTGATAATTGAACATATCAAATGTGTATCAATAGGTTAAGGAAGTAGAACAATGTTCCACGAAATTGTTCCTACTCCCAACTACCGTGGCATTGTTCACCATAATTGACGGATACAGATGCTTAATTACCATTCGTTTCATCAATCCTTAAAAGCTGGATCATTACTCCGTATAAATACCCGAGAATTCGTTGGTAGATTCGAGTAGAAGCAAACGCAGAAGCAAAAATGCGTACAACAGTACTGTGTCTTCTCGCCATCGTTGGCGCTACGTGCGCCCTAAACATTCCATCTCTTCTGTCTCCGAAATCGGTAAACTTTCACTATTTATACATGTAACACTCTTCCTTTCTTTGAAACATAGTGACTGTAAAAGATTGTATCTGAATTTGAATTTAAAAATATAATGAAAATATTATTCGTGATATTTAAACTTTACAAACTTCGCGAGGAACTTTAAAAAATTATTCACCTGAAAATATTCTTACCTTCTATGAAAAATAATTTTTGGTAAAGTATCAAATGAGTTAAAAATTCATTTAATTATTGCTAAACTATTTCTCATCCAGCTTATTCTTTAATTAGTAAGGATATAGATGATTATTCTCTGCCAGTAGTGTTTGTACCATTAATATTAAAAAGCTCATTTCTTAGAATATGTTTTTAAATTTTTAGCTGATGCTTAAGAGAAATTTTAAGGAACAATTCGTATTTAAATTCGACACGAGAAACTATTTAATTACAAAATTAATTTAAATTCTCTAAATCAAAATGTAATTAATTTTTCAGTATTACATTGTCTAATTTTATTAGTATTTCCATGTTTATAAAACAGGAGTTTCAAGCTACCTAATTTTATTTAAATTGATACGTTTGTTGAACTTAATGACAATAATAATAGATGATCACGAAAATAACATTTAGATTATTTTGAGAAATAAAACTTTCTTCAATAAGGATTTTACTAAATTGCAAATGAAATAATTGAAAATTTAATGAAATGTTATTTACGTTATCCTTTGTTAATTCTCAGTTTCCATGAAAATACGACAAATCAAAAATAAAAGAAAACAATGCATACGGTGTACTATAAAAAATTAGCAAATTACAATTCAATGCTTCAAAGATTGCACTGTTATGTACATATATAACTCTAAACATACGAATTTTCCTCAAAAGAAAATAGATCATAATGTTGAATCTCCTAATAAACCAATAGAATTTCTTTATAATTATTTTTGATTTTCTTTTATATGGATAACTGTAGCAGTTTTAGTGTACATTCATTATACTACAAAAATTAACCGTTTAATTTATCATTACTCTACGTAAACGAAACATATAAGTGTGACTAAATAAATTCCATTTTCGATTGCATAGGCGATTGATCGTGGTACTGCGCTGTTAAATGGAAATCTTCCTAAACAGCAACAAGCTGCAAGCCAATCGTCCGATAGTTCCTCTTCATCTTCCCAAAAAGATGACAAGAATACTCAGGACCTAGCTAAAGAATTAGCGCAAAAGCTTATTGAGAATGCCGAGCACGGCGTAGGATCCATGGTACAATTACCATTGAAACTAGCCACTGGAGGTGTTAAAAGTTTTGAAGATGTTGCGAAAAACTGGTTAGGCGAAGTACTTAATCCAGATCAAATGAGGGACGAAGCTAAAGTTGCGAAAGCAGCCGGTGAAATGGCAAAGAAAGCCGGTTCTGTCATGAAGGATTCAATTGAGAATGCTGGAGTCAATTTGCTGCGTCCTGTAAAACTGAAAGCAAATATAATCGACAAAATTGCTCAGGCTATTGCAGGAGTGATCAAAGATCTTCTTGGTTCAGGTAATTTAAATTTAGCAATCTAATAAGTAATGTTTAGTGTCTCTTTTCGTTGTTGTATTCTATAATATATTTTCTAATCTACCAAATTTTTATTTTATACCTCAACTCCAATCTTTGATTTTACTAACGTTAATCTTACTAGTTATAACTCAATCGATTCCTCACTTTCAACCTATGATCTTGCTAATATTTTGTCTTCAAACTGTTTGTATAGATATGTATCTTACATTTAATTTCTGACATAGTTAATATAAATCTTGCCTGCAATGTCCAATCCCATAATTATTCTAACTTGAATTTTTGTCGTGTTACTACTCCTATTCCTATCGCCGCCTTTCTATTATTCTAATCAGAACCATTCTTTTTAAGGTTCTTCGACTACTGCAGCTCCTTCTACAACAGCACGACCTAGCAGGCCATCCCCATCCAGACCTGCTACATCAAGCTCAGCTGCTCCTTCTACAACAGCACGACCTAGCAGGCCATCCCCATCCAGACCTGCTACATCAAGCTCAGCTGCTCCTTCTACAACAGCACGACCTAGCAGGCCATCCCCATCCAGCCCTG